CAACTACTACTACTACTACTACGACTACGACTACGACTACGACTACGACTACGACTACGACTGCTACTACTACTACTTCTACTACTACTACTAATACTACTAATACTACTACTAACTAGCCAGTATTACGACTACCACTACAACTAATACTATCCTACTACTGACTCCTGACTACTACTAACTGTTGCACGAACTATTACACTAACTGCGAATAACTAGTAACTAGTACTACTTCTACAACAGTTATAACTAGTGCTAGCCTACTACTGACTACTGACTACTGACTACTACTGCTGTTACTACTACTACTACTACGACTACTACTACTACTACTACTACTGCTACTACACTACTGCTACTACGACGACGACTATTACAACCACTACAACAACAATCGCCACTACTGCATCTGGCCTCCACAATGTTTTGCCGTTGATTCTACGGCGACGACTACCCACATCCGGACTGTTTGTGTTGTTAGCAGAAATACCAGCACCAGTCCCTAAACATGCAGCGTGGACGAATCATCACCTTAAGCGCTTCATCACCAATGCCGAAGCCTATCGAGACGATACAGCAGGGTGGCCAAGGGAGAGGAATCCTATGCGGGATGAAATCGCGCACCTCACTTCTGATGGCGTGCTATAGGAACGTCACGTGAGAAACCTCGACACTAGTTGCGAGTTGCTGAAACAAGCGGCACTAAGCTTCCGCACACCTCTGACACCAGAGTCCTGCGACTCGTTCACGATCAGCAGTGGAAATCCCTGGCTGAGGCAGCGATTCAAAGGCCTGTACCCTCTTACACTACATAATAACAACAATCACGCAAATGCAGATTTGTCCAATTGCTCTAAGAAGGGCAATGAATGTGAACCAACAGCTCTAGACTAAAAGTTACCTCAAGTCGAAAGTAGGACAGCTTAAATCCTCATCTCGTTCAAACCCGAAAGGGCCTGCTGTCGTGTCCAGGAGTCCATCATCTCCGGCAGTTGAATCCTCAAATGGGTTGCACCCAGAGAGGAGCTGCTTCTCTGCAGATAGGAGATACCAGCTTTCAATGGCCCAGTATCGGTATCTTGTAGCGAGCCCACATCTAGAACAACCTCATAAACCAGGCTGCCACAGAACCGTGCTAAATGCACCCTAAACCCTAAACCCTAATCTTAGGTGGCCATGGCTCCAGGATGTTGAAGATCATGAGTCAGTAGAATTGAAGGAACTTGTGGTATTCTAGGTTGCATGTTACATCTTGCACATCATGTATTGTTAGGTTGATATATCTTCATATTTGTGTGCCTACATATTCCCATGTTCTTGAACCTGCTTACTTATGTAAGAATAAATATGTTAACATATGTGCACATTCCAAACTGGTATAAAGCAAATTAAATATTGTCGTTTTTATACTGCGTGTTATATATATATATATACACATACAATTACATACACATACAATACGTCTTTCAGACAGTACGACCTTCTTGACATGCCCAAAGCAAACATCAAGTTTCTGGCATTCTGCGTATGCACAACAGGTGTCTGAGAAGAACTGGCGCCGCCATGGACGATCAAGGAGTGCAGTTGCTTAAGACTGAAACCTTCCCGCTGAAGGAACAAAAAGGTGTGCTAGTGTTAGCCACGCTTCCCCGAGACCTCTTCCCAGCATTTCCACAGGTCCGATGAGGCAGTGTTCTGGTACGCGAAGCGCTTCATGTAGAGACCTAAACCTTTTCGAAAGTTTTCATGGCCCAGCACTCCACTCAGCATCCGGACGATGGATCCACCCTTGCAGTACGAAATGGCGTCGAAGACCTTCAGCACTGTGAAAAAACAAGGACCAACAAGTAATCAACAACCAAACAACACACACCACGCAGAATCGACAACAGCAACAACAATCCTAGCCATATGTGCATGGCAACCCAAGGCACTACGCAACTGAAAGCCATATACACAACGACAGCAACCAATTTTCATCCCCACCTCATCGACCTCCTTCGCGTTGCGGATGGGCACCTTCCAGGGTCGGGATAGAAAAGATTCGGGGCAGTCTTGCTACTATGCCATACGTGTGCAACCGGTCTGAAAACAACGATTGCCCCCAATCCTCTACAACAAATCCGCAACTCCCTGCAGCACCAAAACCCAAAACCTCAACCCCAACGCCCATCTAAATCCCTGCAGCCACCATGCACCCTCCCCAGCAAACCCTAAACCCTAAACCCTAAAAGAGAAGATGGCCTCGATCGGATGAGAGCTTCTCAGGGCATCTAGACTCAATGCCCGGCTCTGTTGCTGCACCACATACCTGGTAATGGTTTAGGGTTTAGGGTTTAGGGTTTAGGGTTTAGGGAGGGTTTAGGGTTTAGGGTAATATTCACGCATCAGCATAGATAATGGAATACCAAAATGGACATACATGGCTACTCGGCCGATGAATGTGCACGAATGAATACATGAGTACATAGACTGACAAGCACATGTGTATATACACACACACATAATTCTTCGCAGAAGATGCTGCTGCCGTAAAGAAGTATAGCGTGTGCATCAAGACACAGATAAGGTTTTACATGTACATATTCGACAGGTATACATGCTGTACATATCATATCTACCTAATCTCATTGTGTACGAACTCTTAAAAGTAAGCCAGTGAGTAAGTAAGAAAGTAAGTAAGTTAGTTAGTTAGCTAGTGAGTTAGTTAGTTAGTTAGCTACGGAGCTGGTTGTTTCGATCAATAAGCCCCTTGAGACAGTTAAGTTAAGCTGAGTTGCACTATATTAAGCGCGGCATGGTGTGGTCTGGTACGATCTGGCATGGTGTAGTATGTGTTGGTATGCGTGTGCATGTGTGAGACTATGCGTATGTGCATGCATGCATGCCTGCGTGCATTACTCGTGTCTGCATGTATGTGTGCATGCAAAGGTAGGTCGGTAGGTCGGCAGGTAGGTAGGCAGGTAGGGATGCATGCATGCATACATGCACTGTGGACATGGACATCGAACAGGCTCAGGCCGCTGACAAATAATGGGTGCTGCGTTGTGTAGGAAGCAGCTTAAGGTCTATGGTGAGATTTCACCAAGCTTCTTGCATTTTGACGGCATGCATGCTTCAAGCCAACTAGCAAAAATCAAGACTGGCAAGGTTTAAACGAGATCATGTAATCTCTAAAGTGTGCGTCTAAATGTTAACGGCGTGAAACTGTTCAACAGCTGTCGCTAAGGCTGGTGCTGAGGAGGACTACGAGAAACTCGGGCCTGGACAAACATCACTTACCCAGCCTTTGTAATGAAAACAAGACCATATGGACTTTCAAGCTAATTGGGGCCTATAATCTATGACATCTTCTTCGGGCCAGCTGCGGACTATATGATCTGCATTACGGCTTGCCGGCTGTTCCAAGAACAGGACACCGAGAAAATGAAGCTAGATGCACACCCATACAACCCTATCCACATTTAAAAGTTAAAACCATTTCGAGGTTTTTGGCAGCAGTGGTTTTGACCTGTGGTTCTGGCCTCTTTTTGTGGGTGGAGCGTTTATACTGAAACGAATTCGCAGGCAAGAAGCATCGAAGCAACGCCAAACAAGCACACACAACGCACACAAACAAACGTCTCAACCCCAAGCCCCGGCACCACAAAACCTGCAACAAATAAAATAATCCTAAACCCTACGATCACGTTGGTGATGACTGCACGACCACTTACTCCTAATTGCTCATGCTGTTGTTGCTGCTTCGGCTCCTAGCCCTCCTCCGACCCCTACCCCTATCCCTACTTCGCCTCCCCCTGCTACGAGTATTTCACCATGACCCCTACAAAAGTTGCAAGCAGCAAAAGCAACACTGAATACGCGCACCAGCAAACTCCACACCGGTGGCGTGAAACGTCTTAATTAAACTTTGCTCGAACCCGGCAACCTTGTTGGCCTCAGGGCCCCTTCAATTCCTTCGAAGGGCAAGAACCAAAAGAGGCTCCAAACTTTCCAAGCCCTTTTCAGACTAGCGTCTGCTCCCACATGTGCCACTCGGGAAAGAGCATGTTCACAGAATGGGTCTGCATCCAGCTGGCAAAACCTTCGTTCAGCCAGAGCTGCTCCCACCACTCCTGACTCCGCATGGGGCAAAACAGCCCGGGCCCTTCCACACCTAATGTGGGGGCCTAAAAAAATAACCCATACTATTTTGGGGATTCCTCATTATATTTATAGTATAATGGGCTCCATTTCCCTATTCTAATTCTATATTACTACTCGCCATGAGAAACTACAACGAACCCTACTGCCCGGAGGACCAAGGCTCCATTGTTACCAGGTTGCCAAACCACATATGTGACAGCTCGTGGGCAACCACCGTGGCAATCCGCACTTTCCGCGACACACCCACAGTAGAGATGTTGCAGAGCAGGTCTACCTCCCTGAAAATCACCAGCCCCCAGTTTTCCATAGCTCCGGCAGCAAAGTCCGGGGCGGCAAGCATGTCCAGCTTCGGCAGGGGGTAAGGAACCTGGAGGCATCGTGCACTTAGCATTCGTGTCGCGACTACCAGTAATGGCCTTTGTAAGGAAAAAAACAACCCAAAACCCTAAACCCTGAAGCAGGGAATCCAGGTTTCTCGTTTCTTCACATGCTGTGCACGGTTACTGCTTTCGAAAGTGCTCAGAGGTTTCTGATGTGCATACACCTGGGTTTCCTTGGTTTGGGATTTTTCGCCGGCGTTTTAGCCCGAAAGCCCTAGCCCCTTTCAGGATTCGAGCCCGGAACCTCGAAATAGCTCTCGTAGTAGACCAAACTCCTTCGCGCAATGTCCAGTGCGAACTCTCCCAAGTCTGCCTGACCTGGAACGGTCAGGACACGGATCAGTGTCCCGCTCCTTGGTTGCTCTTGGGATTCCTGCTTCGTGTTGGCTTATAGTACTCTCGCACCAGTGTCCTACTTCTCGCTTTCGATCTTCTGTACGCGAGGCAGCCCCTAATCCCTAATGACGGATTCAACAAGCGAACATTTCAAAACATGAGCTCCATGGCCATCTTCAGAATACGGTCCTGCTGAGGAGAAAAGTGCGGGGTGTTAGGGTCGAGGGCGGTATTTCGAGTTGGGGGTTTCCTCAAATGCGGGACCCTACTATAGTACCCTAAATAGCAGGATCTTTTTTATAAGGACCCCCCACAAAAGGTACCCCTTCTTATCGGAAAACTCCCAGTTTTGTCCCGAAGCCCTGCGGTTTACGGTGGACCCGAGGTTCTCTGTCTGCGCCCGTATGGAGTCAAATCGGCCCACGGCGAGCGCCAGTAAGTAGCTGGACATTCGCGGAGTATCCAGAAACGTGACCCTGCCAGGGATGAGACTGAAGAAAGCGAAACGACGCAACATATTACTATGTAAAATTACACAAAGACATATAGACACACCGAGATTCCCTCTCCCTCTCCCTTCTCCCCCTCGCTCTCTATAGAGAGAGAGAGAGGGAGAGACAAACATGCATACAACATGCGTGTATATATACATATACACCCACGTACATATGTATACATATATATATATATGTGCAAATGTATCTATGTTGATTGAGAGAGCACACGATGGCAATTACGGATAATCACACTGGGCGAGGTATTTCTCCCCCATCTGCCTAAAGGTCCTACGTGTTAAAGGCGATGTAGAAGCAAAGGGATTTTTCATAACGCCCAGCCTCGCCGCCACTGTGTTAATAATGAAACCCACTAACTCTAAGCCAGATCCTAGAAGATATGAAACCCACGGCTCTCCCGCAGCCAAGACTGGGTTCTTGTTTAAGTTACCATTACAAGGTACTCATATTATTATCTATAGATCCCTATTGTGGTAACTTAACTTAACTTCCTTTACAAGAGCCCAGGACCCAGAACCCTTTTTGAACCTTAAAACCTAAACCCTAAACCCTCGGTTTCGGGTTTAAGGTTTAGGGTTTAGGGACCCTAAACCCTAAACCCTAGGACCCAGAACCCTAAATCCTCAACCCGAACGAGGCCTCGTCTTCTTCCGGCTGATCGTCGTCTCAGAGGCGCTGGGCATGTTGGACACCGCGACGAGCGCCGAGGGAATGCTGACGCTGAGGCCCTGGGCCAGAGCAGCTACGACCGAGTGGGGGGTGGGGGTTTGGGGTTTAGGGTTCAACTTTGCGACCTTTGAGATGTTGATCTGGTAATACATGCTCCCCTTATTCCACAAGCAGAGGCTGAATCATGTAAACGTGGGTGTCGGTGTCTCGGCCGTTTGGAGTTGGGACTCGGAAAATCTCGGGCTCTATCCCAGAACCTTAGAAACCTGGAACCCAAAAAAACCTGAAGCCCGATGTCCTTAGACCGCGACTGCTGAGGGCTGGGATCCTCAAAACAGAGTTCTCACACTAGGTCTTGCCCTAATTAAGTTCCACCCTCCAACCAGTAAGGGATGCTACACTCCTTGGTTGGGATTTATGATGTGTGCTAGCCTGCCCCTTCCTGATCGCGAGCATGTCTGGAATGGGGGGTCTCAGGTTGACGCCTTTGGTCTTAAGTTCGGGCCTAACCAAGATGCCACAAAATGCCAGCCTGCCCTTCTGAGGCCACCACGAAGATAGCCTTCTTGCTCGGCTCATCCCAGCACGGGAACATGCGCCGGGCATCGACGGCTTCGAATTGAGTCAGCGCCATTGACTTCCAGCCATGCAAGCTCTTGTATCCTTAGCATGCGGAAGACCTGAACCTTCCTCGTACTACCACTAGCTTCTTGTATCCTTGGCATGTGGAAGGCCTGAACCTTCCTAGTACAACCAGTCGCTACTCAGGGATACGGCTACGCCGAGAGGCTGCTGGTGTACAAACCCGCCATGTCCTGGTCGATTGCACCGGGCCGCTTGCTCCGCGTTGTGTGAGGTGCGTAATAAGTTGGAAAAGACTCGTTGCAGAATCCATTATGGTCAGCAGGGAGTTACCCAGGATTCTACAGCACTCCGCCTGTGCAAGCCGGCAAGTGCAGCGAAGCCTCCACACCTGAGTTCCCGAGGTTGCCTTTGATGAAGCAAGAAATGGGTTGTAGCCCTGTAGCTGGCAATCTAGAAATGATGAAGGGCTTGGGCGAGCACAATCACAAAAACTCCCAAGCGATTGTGTAAAGCCTGTGCTCTCTTATCCACTTGTTCTGTTTGCAGGTCGTAGCATAGCCTGTTGGGTTTAACTTGCCTGCCAACAACCGATGGCGGAAGTGAACTTCAGAGACAGACGACACTTACAAAGAAACCCATGCAGAGACAGAAGCGTTTGAACCAGGCACACCAAAAGGAAACTGTCTTTCTCCTTGACCCTGCACATGAAACAGCCCGAAGATGAATAACAGCTGCTGTAGACATAGAAGATGGAACCAGTCGCGTTGCCGTTTGGAATTACAAGAACGTAACTCGGTCCTGGCCCAGCTGACCTGTGTAGCTCAGCTGCAGAGTTGCCAGGCCCAGAGGGAGGTTCTCGCTGAAGTGGAAACTTACCTTGGCATCGTGACGGATCGAAAGAGGAGGGTGTCAGGGTCCTTGTACCATGAGGATAAAGTGGGGGCTCAAACTTACTTTCGGGCAGTGTCAGCAGGCATCGTTTCGAGCAACATCATGCAACAGCCATCCGACATCGCTTCTTTGCCGGTGGATTGCGCGCTCGAGCTCTGCATCCTCCGCAGTATCCACTGGTGCCTGCACGGCATCCGAGCCCTGTTGCCGGAAAGCCACCGACTTCATGTCAATGGACAGGGCACGCGCCTTGACCAGGCAGGTTGGTAGGGTTTCCTATGCCGGAAACCATGATCGGGATAGATTTGGATGTCGTGAGATGAAGACTGGATCGTCCTGCGATCGCATGCCGTTTACAGTTTACAGAACAGCCAGTTCTCCGTGGCAACTGTGTACAAAGGATGGCATGTGATATTGCAGAGCAATGTTCGCGGAAACTGCCGCGAGGCTTTTGCAATGACTATTGCGCTGCCCTTCACATCACGCCCTGGGTTTCTATAGGTCAGTAGAAGAGAAACCTTACATCCAAGCACGGCATCGACAAACACCCATGCATAACGTGTTCCATCTGGTGGAAGTTCTTCCGGGATTCCGGTTAAGGTCTTGGTGATCCTCGTTTTAAAGCCCGGGGGAAGATTGCTAGCTATCGGAAAGTTCGGAATGAAGCTCGGTTTCGAAATGATTGAGTCCACACAGAAAGCCTTGCCTTACTTATCGGAGTCATCTCCAAGCGGCGTTAAGAGTGATGAAAGGTGTCTCACTGGTCACCTCCAGCGTAATTGTAACCTCACCGGAGAATGTGTCCAAGTGCTCTGGGTCCAGTTCAAGGTGCAGATCATAACGTTCAGGAACCACCTGGCAACAAAGTTGCAGTTCATCGCAGCTCCAGGACTTGGGCAGGTTCTTGCCTCGAGCTGAGACGTCTTGAGAATCTGTAGCAAACCGACTGAAGATGTCAGACAGACTTGGATACGTAATCAAGAGAGACCAAGTCGCACGCCCCATCCCAACACCTTATTGGGGTTCTCTGCTACTTGGAAACCGAGCATGCTGGCTGGAACAAAACTCGCTTGATGTGCCTCGGCGGGAAGCACTTCCCGCTCTGAGCTGAGGTCGAGGTCGTTGCCTGCACCAGCTACCCGCAATCGCCAGCGACCCTGCAGCATCTGTCTACGAAACCTCTACAGCTTCATACCCCATAGTGCTGGACTTTAAAGGATTGTGCCTTTCTTCAAGCCTCAAGGCTTGACAGGGAAAGGGACCAAAATTAAAATTGAGACTCTTTTCGTTTCCGAAAAATGGGCGGGCTCAAGCGTTTACGAGCTCATGGCCCGGATGCATTTGCTCCATGAAACCAACATCGTAGAGCCTACAACCCCGCATCTAAAGGCATTGACGGCCTCAGATTTCGGTTCATGGCATGCGCATTCACTCTCCGACGGACATGAACGAATAGTGCACGAAGTCGGGGCAAACGTGACATGTTGTCGTGGATGCGCGAGCATCCATGAATGCATGTCTGCATGTAGACGTGACTCACCATGTCTCACTTTGTTACAGCAGTTTTCCATTCGTGCACGGAGGCTTGGAGGCGTACATACTAAACTTGCTAAACTCACCATACTTACATCCATGTATGCAGACATGATTTGCAGAGAGCGGGAGGGATACCAGCCTAGCAGAGGCTTAAAAAGAGCGTGCGCGTGTGCCCGTGTGTGTGTGAGGTCATGAGGCCGCCTGTGTCGCTGGTGCCCTCGACCGGCTGCTCTTCTGCTTGGAGGAATGCCAGCCGTGCCCGGTGGAAGCAGAGCGCCACCAGCAGCAAAACAACCTCGAAGCGACAACTCGCTCGTGACAAATACCTGGTAATTACCCCACCAGGATTGTAAGAGCCCGCACGGGCTGGATCTTTAGTTTGCTGTATATACGATATCTATTGCACACATTCGTTTCCTCTTTGTGTTCTTACGCTCATTGATTTCATTGAACAAAGAGTGCTCTTCATTCCGCCGGAGACCCTTGAAAGAAGGGAGAAGTGAACGTAAAGAAGGGAGAAGTAAACGTGTGCTTCATGCCTGTGACTCCGTTCTCTTTGCCATAGATCTTCGGTTTCTATTTCCGATATCTATTGTAGAGGCTTAATGGCAAAACTCCCACTGCATAGCTGTAGGCACAGGTGCCGCACAGAACAGCTGGACAGACTTCGAGGGTGCTAGTTCTATGTAGGCCAAACATGTTCAGGAACAGGTCAGACAGGCCTGACAAAAAACGTCTCTGTCGTGTTTGATGCTCAATATGGGACTCTCCAGGCCAGGCATGTTCAATGAGTCGATGAGTTTTGACCGGATCTGACATGATCTGACACAAGCCAGCTGAACCCTTGAGCCCAACCCTCCGTTGTGCTCAGGACTCGACATTGTGTTGGAAGTATGAACATTTCCTCAGCCCCGGGCGCAGCCAAGGCAGCGCGACCGCCGCGGGCGTGGCATTGCTTGCAAAAGTCACGTTCGGAAACAAACTTCGCAAGAACAGAACGCTGTGCAACCACTTACGAAAACGACCTGCCCCTGCAGCTTGAGATTCAGTGTTGAGCAGTGCAGACATAATAGTGAACCCAGTTAGACCGTTTATTATCGCTTCGCTTAACTACCAGGAGGCAGCTTAGTTCATCTTGGCGGGGCCTGTCTCGGTCTTCTGCATACATCCTATGTTGTTTGGGCGCTATGTGATCTCCAGAAATACCTCATACATGCATCTATATATGTGTACATGTGTATGCGTATCTATCTATCTATCTACCTACCTACCTACCTATCTATCTATCTATCTATCTATCTATCTTTGTAGATACACACACAGGAAGTGCTCACGCTAACACTAAATATCTTGACAATCCATCTGGCATATGTAATCATAATGATCATAAGAACGTAGTTACTGTTTCTCTTGCTCTGATTGAGACCATTCGAGGGACTCTTAGATCGCAGCATTAGGCGCCCGCTGCATAGGTTATGGCGCAGCGTGCTGGCTGGTTCAGACTTGCCATGCGGTTTGTGCTTTCTTCCAAGGTAAGCTATTTAAGGGAAGGGCTTAGACTCCCACTCCTCATGGATTTCTGAGCTGACTTTGAACTACCGCCGTGTTGGCTTGAGCTTTGACCCGGACATTTCACGAGTAAGGCCGCGCATGTCCATGTTCTGGGCTTCAGCATGAGGGTACAGCCAAAGCTCGAAGTGCAGACGCACCGCAGCAGCAGCGAAACAGATCTTTAGCTTGCAAGCGGATCCGCAGCAGAGTCTGCGCGCAGAATGGTGGTCTTCCTGGTCCTTCCCACCGGGCTCTGGAGCCCATACAGACAAGACAGGGCCGTCCGAGCACAATTTCCTACGCAGTGGGGGAGCTTGCACAGAAATGTGTCAGGATGCTTCTCCCTGCAGCAGGTTTGGGGCGATCAAACACAAGTCGAGGTCGTTGCACTTCTACATCACTTTGGAGACCTGTGTTTGCACGAACGTTCGTTCGAGCCGGGAATATCATTGCACTAGAAGGACCGCAGTCCAGCACGCAAGCATCATCAGGAGGAGCTGCCACTCTTCCCAAATATGTACGAAGGGTAAAGCCGAGTGTACATTAAAACCAAGACAATCCACATACAAGCCAAGGGAATGGCCTCAAAAAAATGATCGTCCCCAGTTGACAGTTTTACTGCCTCATAGGGTATCCAGCAAGCAGCTACAGAGCAGACAACTAGGCACTGGAGGGCGGGTACGGTAGCACACAGCGGAGCCCGAGACCAAACAGCGCCCTTCCTCCAAGCACAGAAGGCTACCCCAAACATTACCAGTGCCAGTGCCGGAAATTTACACCAGTCCAGCAGCCATTTCCCCATCCCCCTACCTCTGGACTCTCTGAGTCCCAGAGAGACATACTGAGGCAGCTGGGCCAATGGCGCTGCACACAACATTGCGAGCACATAGCGCAGAGGTGGAGCCCCCGAACCCAAGGTCCGAAGAACAGATGCGCTCAGCTGTTCCCGCACCAGGGCATCGAAACCTTCAAACTGTGCTTGGCGCTTGCTGTTGGCGTGCACTTTGTAATTTAGGGTTCCGAGAAGGTGCAATTAAACCACAACGAGAACTTGATTGTTGACTCCAGTAAACTCTTCCTTCCCCTCCACCAAAACATTCCGAAGCCACTCTCAAAAGCGAAAAACTCTCAAAACCTTTCAGCAAAAGCGAGAGACGATCCAAGTGTGTGTCTGGATCGCCTGTTCGGGTGTACCATCTTCGAAGCGTTTGGAATACCAGTGTTCGATCACAAAGTATGGCCTCACCTGTCACCGGGTGCACGTGGTTCCTTGGATGCACAAAGATTCCCCCAGTGGTTCGTATCCTTTTGGATCCAATCCAAGGGATCTTTCAATGTTCTTGGAGCCCAAGAAACCGCACTGCTGCAGATGCTAGTATCCAGAGGAATTGTTAGATCATCATTCCCTAAAACTTGAACATGTCTTTCCCAACAGCCGAGGCGCATAGCGCAGCAGGAGCAATCAGCTTCCCTTATGCTGAAAGACGCCATCTGTGACTTGAGCTTCAGCACTTCTCTCATGTGTAATATGCCAAAGTAGAATTGCGCTGGTACGGCAAGGAGAAAAGCTGGAAGGAGGAATGCCAGAACCGTAGCAATCACTCCGACAGCACCCTGAAATCCCAGAGTGACGTTGTCTGTTTCGACATACACATAGAACTGAAATATCCCCCACAAGAAAGCCTCCAAGAGAGCTACCGACCACAACAGCATAGCCATGGATACGGGCACAAATTCCACAGGCTTCACTTCCTCGTCCTTAAGCCAGGAAGCAATTTCGAATGTACACCATAAGCGAGAGAAGTATCGCGTTTCGCATGTTTCGCTGTAAGATGC